ATTTATGTCAAGCTTATGTCATTGCCGTGTCAAGCAGTGCATGGAACTGCTCCCTCGTACTTCAAAGATCTCACAATGCACCATACCTTGGCTTCAGTGACTCCGGTGGCCTGGTGCAGGTCTTCAGTGACTTGAACTCCGGTGGCCTAGTGCTGGTCTTCAGTGATTTGACCTCCAGTGGCCTAGTGCTGGTCTTCAGTAATTTGACCTCCAGTGGCCTAGTGCTGGTCTTCAGTGACTTGAACTCCGGAGGTCTAGTGCTGGTCTTCATTGACTCTGGTGGCCTAGTGCTGGTCTTCAGTGACTTGGACTCCGGTGGCCTAGTCCTGCTTTTCAGTGATTTGACCTCCAGTGGCTTAGTGCTGGTCTTCAGTGACTTGAACTCCGGTGGCCTAGTGCAGGTCTTCAGTGACTTGAACTCCGGTGGCCTAGTGCTGGTCTTCAGTGATTTGACCTCCAGTGGCTTAGTGCTGGTCTTCAGTGACTTGAACTCCGGTGGCCTAGTGCTGGTCTTCAGTGATTTGACCTCAAGTGGCCTAGTGCTGGTCTTCAGTGATTTGACATCCAGTGGCCTACTGCTGGTCTTCAGTGACTTGGACTCCGGTGGCCTAGTGCTGGTCTTCAGTGACTTGAACTCCGGTGGCCTAGTGCTGGTCTTCAGTGATTTGACCTCTGGTGGCCTAGTGCTGGTCTTCAGTGACTTGGACTCCGGTGGCCTAGTGCTGGTCTTCAGTGACTTGAACTCCGGAGGTCTAGTGCTGGTCTTCATTGACTCTGGTGGCCTAGTGCTGGTCTTCAGTGACTTGGACTCCGGTGGCCTAGTCCTGGTTTTCAGTGATTTGACCTCCAGTGGCTTAGTGCTGGTCTTCAGTGACTTGAACTCCGGTGGCCTAGTGCAGGTCTTCAGTGACTTGAACTCCGGTGGCCTAGTGCTGGTCTTCAGTGATTTGACCTCCAGTGGCTTAGTGCTGGTCTTCAGTGACTTGAACTCCGGTTGCCTAGTGCAGGTCTTCAGTGACTTGAACTCCGGTGGCCTAGTGCTGGTCTTCAGTGATTTGACCTCAAGTGGCCTAGTGCTGGTCTTCAGTGATTTGACATCCAGTGGCCTACTGCTGGTCTTCAGTGACTTGGACTCCGGTGGCCTAGTGCTGGTCTTCAGTGACTTGAACTCCGGTGGCCTAGTGCTGGTCTTCAGTGATTTGACCTCTAGTGGCCTAGTGCTGGTCTTTAGTGACTTGGACTCCGGTGGCCTAGTGCTGGTCTTCAGTGACTTGAACTCCGGTGGCCTAGTGCTGGTCTTCAGTGATTTGACCTCCAGTGGCCTAGTGCAGGTCTTCAGCGCCTTGACCTCCAGTGGCCTACTGCTGGTCTTCAGTGACTTGGACTCCGGTGGCCTAGTGCTGGTCTTCAGTGACTTGAACTCCGATGGCCTAGTGCTGGTCTTCAGTGATTTGACCTCTAGTGGCCTAGTGCTGGTCTTCAGTGACTTGGACTCCGGTGGCCTAGTGCTGGTCTTTAGTGACTTGAACTCTAGTGGCCTAGTGCTGGTCTTCAGTGATTTGGACTCCGGTGGCCTAGTGCTGGTCTTTAGTGACTGGTCTTCAGTGATTTGACCTCCAGTGGCCTAGTGCTGGTCTTCAGTGACTTGAACTCCGCTGGCCTAGTGCTGGTCTTCAGTGACTTGAACTCCGCTGGCCTAGTGCTGGTCTTCAGTGACTTGAACTCCGCTGGCCTAGTGCTGGTCTTCAGTGATTTGACCTCCAGTGGCCTAGTGCTTGTCTTCAGAGAATTGAACTCCGGTGGCCTAGTGCTGGTCTTCAGTGACTTGAACTCCGCCGGCCTAGTGCTGGTCTTCAGTGACTTGAACTCCGGTGGCCTAGTGCTGGTCTTCAGTGACTTGAACTCCGGTGGCCTAGTGCTGGTCTTCAGTGATTTGACCTCCAGTGGCCTAGTGCTTGTCCCCAGTGACTTGAACTCCGGTGGCCTAGTGCTGGTCTTCAGTGACTTGAACTCCGGTGGCCTAGTGCTGGTCTTCAGTGACTTGAACTCCGCTGGCTTAGTGCTGGTCTTCAGTGACTTGAACTCCGGTGGCCTGGTGCAGGTCTTCAGTGACTTGAACTCCGGTGGCCTAGTGCTGGTCTTCAGTGATTTGACCTCCAGTGGCCTAGTGCTGGTCTTCAGTGACTTGGACTCCGGTAGCCTAGTGCTGGTCCTCAGTGATTTGACCTCCAGTGGCCTAGTGCAGGTCTTCAGTGATTTGACCTCCAGTGGCTTAGTGCTGGTCTTCAGTGACTTGAACTCCGGTGGCCTAGTGCTGGTCTTCAGTGACTTGAACTCCGGTGGCCTAGTGCAGTTCTTCAGTGACTTGAATTCCTGTGGCCTAGTGCTGGTCTTCAGTGACTTGAACTCCGCTGGTCTAGTGCTGGTCTTCATTGACTCTGTAGGCCTAGTGCTGGTCTTCAGTGACTTTGACTCCGGTGGCCTAGTCCTAGTTTTCAGCGATTTGACCTCCAGTGGCTTAGTGCTGGTCCTCAGTGACTTTAACTCCGGTGGCCTAGTGCAGGTCTTCAGTGTCTTGAACTCCGGTGGCCTAGTGCTGGTCTTCAGTGATTTGACCTCCAGTGGCTTAGTGCTGGTCTTCAGTGACTTGAACTCCGGTGGCCTAGTGCAGGTCTACAGTGACTTGAACTCCGGTGGCCTAGTGCTGGTCTTCAGTGATTTGACCTCAAGTGGCCTAGTGCTGGTCTTCAGTGATTTGACATCCAGTGGCCTACTGCTGGTCTTCAGTGACTTGGACTCCGGTGGCCTAGTGCTGGTCTTTAGTGACTTGAACTCTAGTGGCCTAGTGCTGGTCTTCAGTGACTTGGACTCCGGTGGCCTAGTGCTGGTCTCTAGTGACTGGTCTTCAGTGATTTGACCTCCAGTGGCCTAGTGCTGGTCTTCAGTGACTTGAACTCCGCTGGCCTAGTGCTGGTCTTCAGTGACTTGAACTCCGCTGGCCTAGTGCTGGTCTTCAGTGACTTGAACTCCGCTGGCCTAGTGCTGGTCTTCAGTGATTTGACCTCCAGTGGCCTAGTGCTTGTCTTCAGAGAATTGAACTCCGGTGGCCTAGTGCTGGTCTTCAGTGACTTGAACTCCGCCGGCCTAGTGCTGGTCTTCAGTGACTTGAACTCCGGTGGCCTAGTGCTGGTCTTCAGTGACTTGAACTCCAGTGGCCTAGTGCTGGTCTTCAGTGATTTGACCTCCAGTGGCCTAGTGCTTGTCTTCAGTGACTTGAACTCCGGTGGCCTAGTGCTGGTCTTCAGTGACTTGAACTCCGGTGGCCTAGTGCTGGTCTTCAGTGACTTGAACTCCGGTGGCCTAGTGCAGTTCTTCAGTGACTTGAACTCCGGTGACCTGGTGCAGGTCTTCAGTGACTTGAACTCCGGTGGCCTAGTGCTGGTCTTCAGTGATTTGACCTCCAGTGGCCTAGTGCTGGTCTTCAGTAATGTGACCTCCAGTGGCCTAGTGCTGGTCTTCAGTGACTTGAACTCCGGTAGCCTAGTGCTGGTCTTCAGTGATTTGACCTCCAGTGGCCTAGTGCAGGTCTTCAGTGATTTGACCTCCAGTGGCTTAGTGCTGGTCTTCAGTGACTTGAACTCCGGTGGCCTAGTGCTGGTCTTCAGTGACTTGAACTCCGGTGGCCTAGTGCAGTTCTTCAGTGACTTGAATTCCGGTGGCCTAGTGCTGGTCTTCAGTGACTTCAACTCCGCTGGTCTAGTGCTGGTCTTCATTGACTCTGGTGGCCTAGTGCTGGTCTTCAGTGACTTTGACTCCGGTGGCCTAGTGCTGGTCTTCAGTGATTTGACCTCCAGTGGCCTAGTGCAGGTCTTCAGCGCCTTGACCTCCAGTGGCCTAGTGCTGGTCTTCAGTGACTTAAACTCCGGTGGCCTAGTGCTGGTCTTCAGTGACTTGAACTCCAGTGGCCTAGTGCTGGTCTTCAGTGATTTGACCTCCAGTGGCCTAGTGCAGGTCTTCAGCGCCTTGACCTCCAGTGGCCTAGTGCTGGTCTTCAGTGACTTGAACTCCGGTGGCCTAGTGCTGGTCTTCAGTGATTTGACCGCCAGTGGCCTAGTGCAGGTCTTCAGCGCCTTGACCTCCAGTGGCCTAGTGCTGGTCTTCAGTGACTTGAACTCCGGTGGCCTAATGCTGGTCTTCGGTGACTTGAACTCCGGTGGCCTAATGCTGGTCTTCAGTGACTTGAACTCCGGTGGCTTAGTGCTGGTCTTCAGTGACTTGAACTCCGGTGGCCTAGTGCAGGTCTTCAGTGACTTGAACTCCGGTGGCCTAGTGCTGGTCTTCAGTGATTTGACCTCAAGTGGCCTAGTGCTGGTCTTCAGTGATTTGACATCCAGTGGCCTACTGCTGGTCTTCAGTGACTTGGACTCCGGTGGCCTAGTGCTGGTCTTCAGTGACTTGAACTCCGGTGGCCTAGTGCTGGTCTTCAGTGATTTGACCTCTAGTGGCCTAGTGCTGGTCTTCAGTGACTTGGACTCCGGTGACCTAGTGCTGGTCTTCAGTGACTTGAACTCCGGTGGCCTAGTGCTGGTCTTCAGTGATTTGACCTCCAGTGGCCTAGTGCGGGTCTTCAGCGCCTTGACCTCAAGTGGCCTAGTGATGGTCTTCAGTGACTTGAACTCCGCTGGCCTAGTGCTGGTCTTCAGTGACTTGAACTTCGGTGGCCTAGTGCTGGTCTTCAGTGATTTGACCTCCAGTGGCCTAGTGCTTGTCATCAGTGACTTGAACTCCGGTGGCCTAGTGCTGATCTTCAGTGACTTGAACTCCGCTGGCCTGTTGCTGGTCTTCAGTGACTTGAACTCCGCTGGCCTGTTGCTGGTCTTCAGTGACTTGAACTCCGGTGGCCTAGTGCAGGTCTTCAGTGACTTGAACTCCACTGGCCTGGTGCTGGTCTTCAGTGACTTGAACTCCGGTGGCCTAGTGCTGGTCTTCAGCGACTTGACCTCCGGTGGCCTGGTGCAGGCCTTCAGTGACTCTGGTGGCCTAGTGCTGGCTTTCAGTGACTTGAACTCCGGTGGCCTAGTACAGGTCTTCAGCGCCTTGACGTCCGGTTGCCTAGTGCTGGTCTTCAGCGGCTTGACCTCCGGTGGCCTGGTGCAGGTCTTCAGTGACTTGAACTCCGGTGGCCTAGTGCTGGTCTTCCGTGACTTGAACTCCGGTGGCCTAGTACTGGTCTTAGGTGACTTGAATTCCGGTGGCCTAGTGCTGGTCTTCAGTGATTTGACCTCCAGTGGCTTAGTGCTGGTCTTCAGTGACTTGAACTCCGGTGGCCTAGTGCAGGTCTTCAGAGACTTGAACTCCGGTGGCCTAGTGCTGGTCTTCAGTGATTTGACCTCAAGTGGCCTAGTGCTGGTCTTCAGTGATTTGACATCCAGTGGCCTACTGCTGGTCTTCAGTGACTTGGACTCCAGTGGCCTAGTGCTGGTCTTCAGTGACTTGAACTCCGGTGGCCTAGTGCTGGTCTTCAGTGATTTGACCTCTGGTGGCCTAGTGCTGGTCTTCAGTGACTTGGACTCCGGTGGCCTAGTGCTGGTCTTCAGTGACTTGAACTCCGGAGGTCTAGTGCTGGTCTTCATTGACTCTGGTGGCCTAGTGCTGGTCTTCAGTGACTTGGACTCCGGTGGCCTAGTCCTGGTTTTCAGTGATTTGACCTCCAGTGGCTTAGTGCTGGTCTTCAGTGACTTGAACTCCGGTGGCCTAGTGCAGGTCTTCAGTGACTTGAACTCCGGTGGCCTAGTGCTGGTCTTCAGTGATTTGACCTCCAGTGGCTTAGTGCTGGTCTTCAGTGACTTGAACTCCGGTGGCCTAGTGCAGGTCTTCAGTGACTTGAACTCCGGTGGCCTAGTGCTGGTCTTCAGTGATTTGACCTCAAGTGGCCTAGTGCTGGTCTTCAGTGATTTGACATCCAGTGGCCTACTGCTGGTCTTCAGTGACTTGGACTCCGGTGGCCTAGTGCTGGTCTTCAGTGACTTGAACTCCGGTGGCCTAGTGCTGGTCTTCAGTGATTTGACCTCTAGTGGCCTAGTGCTGGTCTTTAGTGACTTGGACTCCGGTGGCCTAGTGCTGGTCTTCAGTGACTTGAACTCCGCCGGCCTAGTGCTGGTCTTCAGTGATTTGACCTCCAGTGGCCTAGTGCAGGTCTTCAGCGCCTTGACCTCCAGTGGCCTAGTGCTGGTCTTCAGTGACTTGGACTCCGGTGGCCTAGTGCTGGTCTTCAGTGACTTGAACTCCGATGACTTGTGCTGGTCTTCAGTGATTTGACCTCTAGTGGCCTAGTGCTGGTCTTTAGTGACTTGAACTCTAGTGGCCTAGTGCTGGTCTTCAGTGATTTGGACTCCGGTGGCCTAGTGCTGGTCTTTAGTGACTGGTCTTCAGTGATTTGACCTCCAGTGGCCTAGTGCTGGTCTTCAGTGACTTGAACTCCGCTGGCCTAGTGCTGGTCTTCAGTGACTTGAACTCCGCTGGCCTAGTGCTGGTCTTCAGTGACTTGAACTCCGCTGGCCTAGTGCTGGTCTTCAGTGATTTGACCTCCAGTGGCCTAGTGCTTGTCTTCAGAGAATTGAACTCCGGTGGCCTAGTGCTGGTCTTCAGTGACTTGAACTCCGCCGGCCTAGTGCTGGTCTTCAGTGACTTGAACTCCGGTGGCCTAGTGCTGGTCTTCAGTGACTTGAACTCCGGTGGCCTAGTGCTGGTCTTCAGTGATTTGACCTCCAGTGGCCTAGTGCTTGTCTTCAGTGACTTGAACTCCGGTGGCCTAGTGCTGGTCTTCAGTGACTTGAACTCCGGTGGCCTAGTGCTGGTCTTCAGTGACTTGAACTCCGCTGGCTTAGTGCTGGTCTTCAGTGACTTGAACTCCGGTGGCCTGGTGCAGGTCTTCAGTGACTTGAACTCCGGTGGCCTAGTGCTGGTCTTCAGTGATTTGACCTCCAGTGGCCTAGTGCTGGTCTTCAGTAATGGGACCTCCAGTGGCCTAGTGCTGGTCTTCAGTGACTTGGACTCCGGTAGCCTAGTGCTGGTCCTCAGTGATTTGACCTCCAGTGGCCTAGTGCAGGTCTTCAGTGATTTGACCTCCAGTGGCTTAGTGCTGGTCTTCAGTGACTTGAACTCCGGTGGCCTAGTGCTGGTCTTCAGTGACTTGAACTCCGGTGGCCTAGTGCAGTTCTTCAGTGACTTGAATTCCTGTGGCCTAGTGCTGGTCTTCAGTGACTTGAACTCCGCTGGCCTAGTGCTGGTCTTCAGTGACTTTGACTCCGGTGGCCTAGTCCTAGTTTTCAGCGATTTGACCTCCAGTGGCTTAGTGCTGGTCCTCAGTGACTTTAACTCCGGTGGCCTAGTGCAGGTCTTCAGTGTCTTGAACTCCGGTGGCCTAGTGCTGGTCTTCAGTGATTTGACCTCCAGTGGCTTAGTGCTGGTCTTCAGTGACTTGAACTCCGGTGGCCTAGTGCAGGTCTACAGTGACTTGAACTCCGGTGGCCTAGTGCTGGACTTCAGTGATTTGACCTCAAGTGGCCTAGTGCTGGTCTTCAGTGATTTGACATCCAGTGGCCTACTGCTGGTCTTCAGTGACTTGGACTCCGGTGGCCTAGTGCTGGTCTTTAGTGACTTGAACTCTAGTGGCCTAGTGCCGGTCTTCAGTGACTTGGACTCCGGTGGCCTAGTGCTGGTCTCTAGTGACTGGTCTTCAGTGATTTGACCTCCAGTGGCCTAGTGCTGGTCTTCAGTGACTTGAACTCCGCTGGCCTAGTGCTGGTCTTCAGTGACTTGAACTCCGCTGGCCTAGTGCTGGTCTTCAGTGACTTGAACTCCGCTGGCCTAGTGCTGGTCTTCAGTGATTTGACCTCCAGTGGCCTAGTGCTTGTCTTCAGAGAATTGAACTCCGGTGGCCTAGTGCTGGTCTTCAGTGACTTGAACTCCGCCGGCCTAGTGCTGGTCTTCAGTGACTTGAACTCCGGTGGCCTAGTGCTGGTCTTCAGTGACTTGAACTCCGGTGGCCTAGTGCTGGTCTTCAGTGATTTGACCTCCAGTGGCCTAGTGCTTGTCTTCAGTGACTTGAACTCCGGTGGCCTAGTGCTGGTCTTCAGTGACTTGAACTCCGGTGGCCTAGTGCTGGTCTTCAGTGACTTGAACTCCGCTGGCTTAGTGCTGGTCTTCAGTGACTTGAACTCCGGTGGCCTGGTGCAGGTCTTCAGTGACTTGAACTCCGGTGGCCTAGTGCTGGTCTTCAGTGATTTGACCTCCAGTGGCCTAGTGCTGGTCTTCAGTAATGTGACCTCCAGTGGCCTAGTGCTGGTCTTCAGTGACTTGGACTCCGGTAGCCTAGTGCTGGTCTTCAGTGATTTGACCTCCAGTGGCCTAGTGCAGGTCTTCAGTGATTTGACCTCCAGTGGCTTAGTGCTGGTCTTCAGTGACTTGAACTCCGGTGGCCTAGTGCTGGTCTTCAGTGACTTGAACTCCGGTGGCCTAGTGCAGTTCTTCAGTGACTTGAATTCCGGTGGCCTAGTGCTGGTCTTCAGTGACTTGAACTCCGCTGGTCTAGTGCTGGTCTTCATTGACTCTGGTGGCCTACTGCTGGTCTTCAGTGACTTTGACTCCGGTGGCCTAGTGCTGGTCTTCAGTGATTTGACCTCCAGTGGCCTAGTGCAGGTCTTCAGCGCCTTGACCTCCAGTGGCCTAGTGCTGGTCTTCAGTGACTTAAACTCCGGTGGCCTAGTGCTGGTCTTCAGTGACTTGAACTCCAGTGGCCTAGTGCTGGTCTTCAGTGATTTGACCTCCAGTGGCCTAGTGCAGGTCTTCAGCGCCTTGACCTCCAGTGGCCTAGTGCTGGTCTTCAGTGACTTGAACTCCGGTGGCCTAGTGCTGGTCTTCAGTGATTTGACTGCCAGTGGCCTAGTGCAGGTCTTCAGCGCCTTGACCTCCAGTGGCCTAGTGCTGGTCTTCAGTGACTTGAACTCCGGTGGCCTAATGCTGGTCTTCGGTGACTTGAACTCCGGTGGCCTAATGCTGGTCTTCAGTGACTTGAACTCCGGTGGCTTAGTGCTGGTCTTCAGTGACTTGAACTCCGGTGGCCTAGTGCAGGTCTTCAGTGACTTGAACTCCGGTGGCCTAGTGCTGGTCTTCAGTGATTTGACCTCAAGTGGCCTAGTGCTGGTCTTCAGTGATTTGACATCCAGTGGCCTACTGCTGGTCTTCAGTGACTTGGACTCCGGTGGCCTAGTGCTGGTCTTCAGTGACTTGAACTCCGGTGGCCTAGTGCTGGTCTTCAGTGATTTGACCTCTAGTGGCCTAGTGCTGGTCTTCAGTGACTTGGACTCCGGTGACCTAGTGCTGGTCTTCAGTGACTTGAACTCCGGTGGCCTAGTGCTGGTCTTCAGTGATTTGACCTCCAGTGGCCTAGTGCGGGTCTTCAGCGCCTTGACCTCAAGTGGCCTAGTGATGGTCTTCAGTGACTTGAACTCCGCTGGCCTAGTGCTGGTCTTCAGTGACTTGAACTTCGGTGGCCTAGTGCTGGTCTCCAGTGATTTGACCTCCAGTGGCCTAGTGCTTGTCATCAGTGACTTGAACTCCGGTGGCCTAGTGCTGGTCTTCAGTGACTTGAACTCCGCCGGCCTAGTGCTGGTCTTCAGTGACTTGAACTCCGCTGGCCTGTTGCTGGTCTTCAGTGACTTGAACTCCGGTGGCCTAGTGCAGGTCTTCAGTGACTTGAACTCCACTGGCCTGGTGCTGGTCTTCAGTGACTTGAACTCCGGTGGCCTAGTGCTGGTCTTCAGCGACTTGACCTCCGGTGGCCTGGTGCAGGCCTTCAGTGACTCTGGTGGCCTAGTGCTGGTTTTCAGTGACTTGAACTCCGGTGGCCTAGTACAGGTCTTCAGCGCCTTGACGTCCGGTTGCCTAGTGCTGGTCTTCAGCGGCTTGACCTCCGGTGGCCTGGTGCAGGTCTTCAGTGACTTGAACTCCGGTGGCCTAGTGCTGGTCTTCCGTGACTTGAACTCCGGTGGCCTAGTACTGGTCTTAGGTGACTTGAATTCCGGTGGCCTAGTGCTGGTCTTCAGTGACTTGAACTCCGCTGGCCTAGACTAAGTGCTGGTCTTCAGTGACTTGAACTCCGCTGGCCTAGTGCTGGTCTTCAGTGACTTGAACTCCGCTGGCCTAGTGCTGGTCTTCAGTGACTCCGGTGGCCTAGTGCAGGTCTTCAGTGACTTGACCTCCGGTGGCCTGGTGCAGGTCTGCAGTGACTCCGGTGGCCTAGTGCTGGTCTTCAGTGACTTGACCTCCAGTGGCCTGGTGCAGATCTTCAGTGACTTGAATTCCGGTGGACTAGTACAGATCTTCAGTGACTCTGGTGGCCTAGTGCTGGTCTTCAGTGACTCTGGTGGCCTAGTGCTGGTCTTCAGTGATTCTGGTGGCCTAGTGCTGGTCTTCAGTGACTTTGGTGGCCTAGTGCTGGTTTTCAGCGTCTTGAACTCCGCTGTCCTAGTGCAGGACTTTAGTGACTTGAACTCGGTGGCCTGGTGCAGGTCTTCAGTGTCTCTGGTGGCCTAGTGCTGGTCTTCAGTGACTCTGGTGGCCCAGTGCTGGTCTTCAGCGCCTTGACCTCCGGTGGCCTAGTGCTGGTCTTCAGTGACTGGTGGCCTAGTGCTGGTCTTCAGCGCCTTGACCTCCGGTACCCTAGTGCAGGTCTTCAGTGACTTAAACTCCGGTGGCCTAGTGCTAGTCTTCAGTGACTTGAACTTCGGTGGCCTGGTGCTGGTCTTCAGTGGCTTGAACTCCGGTGGCCTTGGGCAGGTCTTCAGCGTCTTGACCTCCGGTGGCCTAGTGCTGGTCTTCAGTGACTTGAATTCCGGTGGCCTAGTGCTGGTCTTCAGCGTCTTGACCTCCAGCGGCCTAGTGCTGGTCTTCAGTGACTTGAATTCCGGTGACCTAGTGCTGGTCTTCAGGGACTTGAACTTCGGTGGCCTGGTGCTGGTCTTCAGTGGCTTGAACTCCGATGGACTAGTACCTGTCTTCAGTGACTTGAACTCCGGTGGCCTAGTGCAGATCTTCAGTGACTTGAATTCCGGTGGATTAGTACAGGTCTTCAGTGACTATGGTGGCCTAGTGCAGGTCTTCAGTGACTCTGGTGGCCTAGTGCTGGTCTTCAGTGACTCTGGTGGCCTAGTGCAGGTCTTCAGTGACTCTGGTGGCCTAGTGCTGGTCTTCAGTGACTCTGGTGGCCTAGTGCTGGTCTTCAGTGACTTGAACTCCGCTGTCCTAGTGCAGGTCTTCAGTGACTTGAACTCCGGTGGCCTGGTGCAGGTCTTCAGTGACTTGAACTCCGGTGGCCTGGTGCAGGACTTTAGTGACTTGAACTCCGGTGGCCTAGTGCAGGTCTTCAGTGACTTGTATTCCGGTGGCCTAATACTGGTCTCCCGGGACTTAAATTCTGATGGACTAGTACCTGTCTTCAGTGACTTGAACTCCGGTGTCCTAGTGTTTGTTTTCAGCGTCTTGAACTCCGGTGGCCTAGTGCTGGTCTTCAGTAACTTGAACTCCTGTGTCCTGGTGCCTGTCTTCAGTGACTTGACCTCCGGTGGCCTGGTGCACGTCTTCAGTGATTCTGGTGGCCTAGTGCTAGTCTTCAGTAACTTGAATTCCTGTGTCCTGGTGCGGGTCTTCAGCGCCTTGACCTCCGGTGGCCTAGTGCTGGTCTTCAGTGACTTGAACTCCGGTGGCCTAGTGCTGGTCTTCAGTGACTTGAACTCCGGTGGCCTAGTGCAGGTCTTCAGTGACTTGAACTCCGGTGGCCTAGTGCAGGTCTTCAGTGACTTGAATTCCGGTGGCCTAGTGCTGGTCTTCAGTGACTTGAACTCCGGAGGTCTAGTGCTGGTCTTCAGTGACTCTGGTGGCCTAGTGCTGGTCTTCAGTGACTTGGACTCCGGTGGCCTACTGCTGGTCTTAAGTAATTTGACCTCCAGTGGCCTAGTGCTGGTTTTCAGTGAGTTGACCTCCAGTGGCTTAATGCTGGTCTTCAGTGACTTGAACTCCGGTGGCCTAGTGCTGGTCTTCAGTGATTTGACCTCCAGTGGCCTAGTGCTAGTCTTCAGTGACTTGTATTCCGGTGGCCTAGTGCTGGTCTCCAGTGACTTGAATTCCGATGGACTAGTACCTGTCTTCAGTGACTTGAACTCCGCTGGCCTAGTGCTGGTCTTCAGTGACTCCGGTGGCCTAGTGCAGGTCTTCAGTGACTTGACCTCCGGTGGCCTGGTGCAGGTCTGCAGTGACTCCGGTGGCCTAGTGCTGGTCTTCAGTGACTTGACCTCCAGTGGCCTGGTGCAGATCTTCAGTGACTTGAATTCCGGTGGACTAGTACAGATCTTCAGTGACTCTGGTGGCCTAGTGCTGGTCTTCAGTGACTCTGGTGGCCTAGTGCTGGTCTTCAGTGATTCTGGTGGCCTAGTGCTGGTCTTCAGTGACTTTGGTGGCCTAGTGCTGGTTTTCAGCGTCTTGAACTCCGCTGTCCTAGTGCAGGACTTTAGTGACTTGAACTCGGTGGCCTGGTGCAGGTCTTCAGTGTCTCTGGTGGCCTAGTGCTGGTCTTCAGTGACTCTGGTGGCCCAGTGCTGGTCTTCAGCGCCTTGACCTCCGGTGGCCTAGTGCTGGTCTTCAGTGACTGGTGGCCTAGTGCTGGTCTTCAGCGCCTTGACCTCCGGTACCCTAGTGCAGGTCTTCAGTGACTTAAACTCCGGTGGCCTAGTGCTAGTCTTCAGTGACTTGAACTTCGGTGGCCTGGTGCTGGTCTTCAGTGGCTTGAACTCCGGTGGCCTTGGGCAGGTCTTCAGCGTCTTGACCTCCGGTGGCCTAGTGCTGGTCTTCAGTGACTTGAATTCCGGTGGCCTAGTGCTGGTCTTCAGCGTCTTGACCTCCAGCGGCCTAGTGCTGGTCTTCAGTGACTTGAATTCCGGTGACCTAGTGCTGGTCTTCAGGGACTTGAACTTCGGTGGCCTGGTGCTGGTCTTCAGTGGCTTGAACTCCGATGGACTAGTACCTGTCTTCAGTGACTTGAACTCCGGTGGCCTAGTGCAGATCTTCAGTGACTTGAATTCCGGTGGATTAGTACAGGTCTTCAGTGACTATGGTGGCCTAGTGCAGGTCTTCAGTGACTCTGGTGGCCTAGTGCTGGTCTTCAGTGACTCTGGTGGCCTAGTGCAGGTCTTCAGTGACTCTGGTGGCCTAGTGCTGGTCTTCAGTGACTCTGGTGGCCTAGTGCTGGTCTTCAGTGACTTGAACTCCGCTGTCCTAGTGCAGGTCTTCAGTGACTTGAACTCCGGTGGCCTGGTGCAGGTCTTCAGTGACTTGAACTCCGGTGGCCTGGTGCAGGACTTTAGTGACTTGAACTCCGGTGGCCTAGTGCAGGTCTTCAGTGACTTGTATTCCGGTGGCCTAATACTGGTCTCCCGGGACTTAAATTCTGATGGACTAGTACCTGTCTTCAGTGACTTGAACTCCGGTGTCCTAGTGTTTGTTTTCAGCGTCTTGAACTCCGGTGGCCTAGTGCTGGTCTTCAGTAACTTGAACTCCTGTGTCCTGGTGCCTGTCTTCAGTGACTTGACCTCCGGTGGCCTGGTGCACGTCTTCAGTGATTCTGGTGGCCTAGTGCTAGTCTTCAGTAACTTGAATTCCTGTGTCCTGGTGCGGGTCTTCAGCGCCTTGACCTCCGGTGGCCTAGTGCTGGTCTTCAGTGACTTGAACTCCGGTGGCCTAGTGCTGGTCTTCAGTGACTTGAACTCCGGTGGCCTAGTGCAGGTCTTCAGTGACTTGAACTCCGGTGGCCTAGTGCAGGTCTTCAGTGACTTGAATTCCGGTGGCCTAGTGCTGGTCTTCAGTGACTTGAACTCCGGAGGTCTAGTGCTGGTCTTCAGTGACTCTGGTGGCCTAGTGCTGGTCTTCAGTGACTTGGACTCCGGTGGCCTACTGCTGGTCTTAAGTAATTTGACCTCCAGTGGCCTAGTGCTGGTTTTCAGTGAGTTGACCTCCAGTGGCTTAATGCTGGTCTTCAGTGACTTGAACTCCGGTGGCCTAGTGCTGGTCTTCAGTGATTTGACCTCCAGTGGCCTAGTGCTAGTCTTCAGTGACTTGTATTCCGGTGGCCTAGTGCTGGTCTCCAGTGACTTGAATTCCGATGGACTAGTACCTGTCTTCAGTGACTTGAACTCCGGTGGCCTGGTGCAGATCTTCAGTGACTTGAACCCCGGTGGCCTGGTGCAGGTCTTCGGTAACTCTGGTGCTGGTCTTCAGCGCCTTGACCTCCGGTGGCCTAGTGCTGGTCTTCAGTGACTTGACCTCCGGTGGCCTAGTGCTGGTCTTCAGCGCCTTGACCTCCGGTGGCCTAGTGCTGGTCTTCAGTGACTTGACCTCCGGTGGCCTAGTGCTGGTCTTCAGTGACTTGACCTCCGGTGGCCTAGTGCTGGTCTTCAGCGCCTTGACCTCCGGTGGCCTGGTGCAGGTCTTCAGTGACTGTGGTGGCCTAGTGCTGGTCTTCAGTGACTTGAACTCCGCTGGCCTAGTGCTGGTCTTCAGTGACTCCGGTGGCCTAGTGCTGGTCTTCAGTGACTCCGGTGGCCTTGTGCTGGTCTTCAGTGACTTGACCTCCGGTGGCCTGGTGCTGGTCTTCAGTGTATCTGGTGGCCTAGTGCTGGTCTTCAGCGCCTTGACCTCTGGTGGCCTAGTGCTGGTCTTCAGCGCCTTGAACTCCGGTAGCCTGGTGCAGGTCTTCAGCGATTTGATTGGCTGTTTGAGCTCCATTTCATAATGCATGGTTTCAGATAAATCGATGTTGGACTGATCCTAAACGCTCTGTGCTGGGCCAATCAATCATATTCTATGTCTGCACAAACCTGGTCCAATTTCTGCAAATTACAGACAGACACATTGAACATATTGGCTAACCTTCGCTGAATTCTACCAGTTAATAGCATGTAGATTTTTAAGACGTAGACGACGCATTCCCAACCTGATCAGAAATACTGCATTCAAGCAAGAGGGGAGAGCTTACTGTCACTGTGGATACTGAAAATCAACAATGTGAATGGTGTCACTCCAGCTTTATAACGGTGTAAGAATCTGCATCGAAATGTCGCAAGCATGCAATAAACCAGTTCTTACCCATAAAGTTGTATGTTACTTCTAGAATGGCTGTCAAGCAGTGAATACAAATGGTTCAGGGCGATTTGACGCCCTTTCACTGAAGTGTCAAACTCAAGCAGTACCCGCTACCCACGTGCACGGATGAACTGCATGGTCCATGTGTTTGGGGGCGTGAAGTTTTGATTTCGAAACTATTCTATCTCTGGCAGTCTTTTTTCAAAGCTGATCTTTCTTCTGACGACCGAACATAACATATATATTTCATGATCCCCTACTTTTGGGGGGAGGATATTAACGCAATTCCCCGTTAAGATCGGTGTTTACGAATTGATCTCCAGCAACCCATGCATGTCATTAATGGCGACTAACGGATTGTCAGGATCGCTGTGTAGACCGATGCTCATGATGGCAATCACTGGATTGTCTGGTTCAGACTCAATTATTTACAGGCCGCCTTTATATAGCTGGAATATTGCTGAGTGCGGCGTTAAAAAACAACAAACAATAGCTGCTGCAATCGTCATGGGTGGAGTAGGCCAGGTGCTGAGATCGTATACCGCTAATGACCAGGTTGTTATTCAGCCTTGGGACCAATGATGTTTACAGGTCCTTGTCAAAACCCCTTTGTACAGTACGTTCATCCTGTGCACTCAAAAGAACCCACTCATCCGATGGCAGATGACCAGACGGTGGAAACACGAATACGTACAGACACCCGCAACACAGAACATGTCAGCACGCGTGGTGTCACCCTGGGCATGTGACTTAGTTCAACTATGCCTCTGTTCACCCAGCTGGGAAAGGATACCCCATATGTGAGGTGGATGTAAAAATCCTCAAGCGTCCATAGGCGGCTTGAGTTGTATACTCCCTGGGGATTTGAAAATGATAAATGGAATACATACGGATCCACTGGACGGGAACAAATATACCGCATTCGAGCAGATGCTAATATCTGGATTTGTGTGGTTTATAAATGTTTATTAATTTATTAAATATAATATAATACCAGGCTTTGTGTAGCTGTACAATTCGACACGAATAAACGTGGTTCAAAATCAAATAGCATATATTTTAAGGGAGAAGATTCCACTGTTCAACCAGGGCCTACAAAGCCCATGCAGACATCGTGAAAATGCTGTGTGTCAAGAAATAACAAGTCAGTGTCCGTCACAACAACACAACAACACAACAACGCACACGCCACACCCGTGAAGATCCGGGTTAGAATAGGTCTTCAGCAACCCATGCTTGCCGTAAAAGGTGACTATGCTTATCCTAACGGATGACTAACGGGATCGGGTGGTCAGGCTCGCTGACTTGGTTGACGCATGTCATCGTATACCAATTACGTGGATCGATGCTCATGATATCAATCACTGGATTGTCTGGTCCCGACTCGATTATTTACAGACCGCCGTCATATACAATATTGCTGAGTGCGGCGTGAAACAACAAACAAACAAACACAACCTCGGACCATTCCAGTATTGAACCACCTCTCCAGGCGATATGTGTGGCACGTCACCTGTTTGTCCGTAAAGTGTAGATCGGTGTTCTCCTGGAATGAAGAGTAACTGGTCGAAATGTTCACCCCAGTAGTGTTCGCCTCTACGAAGTGTGGACCCGTGAAGATCCGGAGTAGACTAGGTCTTCAGCAACCCATGCTTGCCATAAAAGGCGACTATGCTTGCTGTAAGAGGCGACTAACTGGATCGGGTGGTCAGGCTCGCTGACTTGGTTGATGCATGTCGTCGTGTCCTAAGTATGTGGATCGATGCTCATGAAGTCAATCACTGGATTGTCTGGTCCAGACTCGATTATTTACAGACCGCCGCCATATAGCTGGAATATTGCTGAGTGCGGCGTTAATCAACAAACAAACAAACAAATCTTCAATAAACATGTGCGAAGGAGGTTGTGTTGTTACCCTGACTTAATCGCGCGTTTGCGTTAAGGTATACAGAGTTACTGCCCTTTCAGGTTGACGTTGATAATTGTACTTGTATTGGAGGCATGTCGTGTAACAGGGACGAGTTTCGTATAATTTGTTAGTTTCCTCCCATACAGTGAGCGCATTTCGCGACGTGCTAAGCAACACATGTTCACAAGTCCTTCTAATCACCATTAGAGATTCATCATACTATTTATTTCCGGATGCTGTATCCGACGTACCGTATTTCCCCTTGAAGAAGCTTCAAATCCCGGCGGGTAATGGAGGCCGGGCGGTAATTAGTGACCTGGCGCTTAATTCTTTCACTACCATATTGTGTAGAGGAGAGGTAATAAAAAAGTTAGTCACTGATAAATTGACATACAATACCATTTTATATGCTTGATACAGAATTTTTTCAAGGTAGAAGGGGAAGGAAGTATTTGAAATTTAACACATACGGCGGTTATTAGAGACCAGGTGCATAGAGATTTTGCGCTTAATAGAGGAAATACGGTATGCATTGCCTAGCCAATCTGGCTCTCTTGTCTCCCTGGGCAGCGTTCTCGCAGAAACGAGAGGGAACCAGTCTACACACTTGTGAGGATGAATGCATACGCTATGACATAATGTGGAAAACTTGGATGAAAACATTCACCCGGTCTGTGACATCCATTAGGTTGCTGGGTCACTGAGTTCATGTCAGCTCCTCACACTGAAGCTCCGTCTCTGTAGGCCCAGAGATTGTCTGATTTGAATTGTGAGAGTGATGAATTTTCTATAAATAAGTACTAAAATGGCCACAGATACACACTTTTTTACTAGTATCAGTTCAATACTGCGTTTTGTCATTTTGATTTTGCGTTCATTGTCCGTTTCGTTCTGTGTGTATGTAAAATGTGGGGAACTTAGTATTTTTTCATTATATTTTAAACTTTATTAAATATTATACTCACATTTTGCAAACACGGGACATTGGGTGGAGCTTGGAATGCATTTTTCCCGTCAGGTTGTTCCACGAGGTTTGGTCACACAAATACCACAATCTTATAATTTGAATTAATTTAATTTAACATTCCGCAAAATTATTTGATTAACGTTTGGTGACAAAAAAGTAGATCTAAGAGCCGTTTAAGGCATTTTTTTTATAGATACTATGGGTATTTGTAAAATAAGGTATTTCAGTACAGGCAACAATAAGTTTTACTTATCATTATCAGATTAAGGTTTTATTAAAGCTAGCACCACATATCCTGTGAATCTATCGAATTTGATTAATAAACAAAGTAATGCAGGTGAAAACAAAATTATCCGTGAAGCAATCTGTTAGTGTTATGAATTATATAAAGTTTGCAGTGGAAAATATTCAAACTTAATCACTCCATATTATATATTAATATACCAGCTTGAAAACTCCCAGTGTTGGTGTATACATATATATATATCTTGACTATAGAAAAGGTCCACCATGTAGCACAATTACTGCATAGGCTTCTTCAGCCCTCAGGATCCACCTAGTTCATGTGAATACCGTTAAGGGGAGACAACTCTTCGTTCCATGTTGGCTCACAATACAGACGAGAACCGTGAGATCTCGCGTCACTGTGTGTGTCGTAACCTGTCACAGTTCCTGAACCATGTTATTTTCCCTTCTGTCAAGCCCTTTCTGTAATGCAAAAGCTCTAAATGAAGCAAGTCTAGACTTTTTTCATAATCTCGCACTACCTTTTGGTTCCTTTTCAATTTAATGGAGTTAAATACAGTAAACTACGGTTATAACGAACACGCTTATAACGAACTGACGGATATAACGAACTTACTTTTTTGGTCCCGACTATTTGCTGTAGTTATGCTGTATATATGCTTATAACGAACTACGGTTATAACGATGTAAAATTAGTAGTCCCTTTGAGTTCGTTATAACCGTAGTTTACTGTACCTCTTTCTGTCAAACTTATATATTTTCAGAGACTACGCGTTAGTCTATATGTGTCGGTTCGTGTAGTTCATTTCGTAAACATCTGATTGACCTGAAGTGAACCCCGTTCTGTCATCGTATTACAATTTCCGTCAGTCTGACCTTTTTACACGTATGACCATTATCATTAATTAAAAACTTTATATCCATCACAAAATTGACAAAATAATAATATCAACACCAGAGTGTTCGTGATCACCGTGCTAAAATACAGTTCATGCTGACAGTACCTTGGTAGTATTATAATCATCTTAAAACCAAATTGATTAAATGTGACGAAAAGGGGAGAGCGACTGACCTCGCCGACAGTCTGACTCCATTCCCTCGTTTGCTTTAAGGCATTAAGAGTTACTTCCCTTTGTGTTGAAAAACATGAGCTGTACTGTGGCGTGTGGGAAGATACAAGTTCGTGTAATTGATTAGTTTCCATCCAGGCGGTTTCCGTATCAGCTCATCCATTCAGCGTTCATTACTGTTTGTTTGTTTGTTTGTTGTTTACCGCCGCACTCCAACTTCCAGATATATGACGGCAGTCTGTAAATAATCGAGTCTGGACCAGACATTCCACTGATTGACATCATGAACATCGATCCACGCCATTGGGTTCGATTACATGCATCAATTAAGTCAGCGAGCCTGACCACCCGATCCCGTTAGTCGCCTCTTACGACAAGCATAGTGGCCTTTTGTTTCTATAGCCTCATGTCCACTATACGCCACTCCCGACAACAAATATGTCTGACGGCT